ATTTGTCTTTCTAAGAGATTTTAAAAAAAACATCTTCAGCCTTTTGGGACTGTCCCTTTTGGAGGTTGTACTGAAGGTCTAACCGCAGGGACCACAGCAGGCACTTGGCATCCTTGCTGCTGGAAGATGTAGTCTTGGCATCTTGTCTATAAGATAGCAAAGAGCCACAGAGCGGGGGAAGCAGGGACAGGAGCAAATCCACTTTCTTGGTGCAGTTGATTCAAAGACAGCCCTGCGCAGCACCTAATACTGCTGTAGCTTCTTCTCACCCCCTGGAGCCTGGATGTCCTGGGGCTGCTGCCGTGGGTCTGCGTGGTCCCTGCGCCCCACCACGCTGCAGCTTCTGTTCTCCAGCCCTGGCATAGCCAGGAGGGGGGACAGGAGCTGAACAAAGCTTTGGGTCTACAAAGCAGCTCTTGATTTATGCGCAGACGCTCCCCCCAGGCCTTGGTGTGGCTTGGCTTTCAGCAGCAGCCAGAGGTCTGCCATGTCAGCAACAGGTGACGGGAAGCAGTGCCAGGCGGGAGCGTGTGTGGAGGGGAGCCGCAGAGCAGATGGCAGCAGGGAAATAAATTTGGAGCTGCCACGGGAATAGTCCTGGAAACAGTCCAGCCTGGAGGCAGATGGGAAAAACCCAGTTTATATCTCTTCCCGGTTTTGCTATTTTTTAGATGCCTCTATTTCCAGCTTCGTTATCTCTTGACCATTCTTTCCTGTCTGTTACTACACCCTCAACCTTCTTTTTTTCTCTCTTCTTATCCTGCCTTCTTTTCCCCCTTTTGTTTCTGCTCGTACTATATTTGCTTTCATGAAAGTTTACCCAGCCTGTGTCCGCTTCCTTATAAATGTATTCCCGGTTCCTCCATCCCTACCCTCACAGCTGATCCTAAAATCTTCCCCTGGCACTGAAAGGCTCAGCATACAGATGTGGCCCAGCTGTGGGCTGGAGTTCAGCATGGAAGAAAGGAAAACACCCTGTGTGCTGCCCATTTCCTTCTCCACCTTTCCCTCTGAGCTGGTTGCTCGCGGGCACGGGGCTTGCCTGATGGCTGCTGTGTTCGTGCCCTCCGTCACCGCAGTGATGTCCTGGCTGGTTGAGCTCTGGATGTGGGCACACCCCGTGTGAACCGGGGTGTCTCTGTCCCATGCTCACGGGAGAGTCTGCAGGATGCTTCAGGGGCGTGGAGGTGCGTCCTTCTGTGCTGAACGGGGGAACTCAGCCAGGTTTGGGTCTTCTGAAGCTTTTTTGTGATACTTCAAAGAGAAGCTGTCCGGTTTCGAACTGATCGGCTGTTTGAAAGGACTAGGTGGAAACTGCTGTTTTGGTTTGGGCGTGATCGTGGGTGGCACGCAGGGTCCCTGGCTGGGCGGGGAGCGGGGGCCTTTCCCTGGCAGCCCTCTCGGGCTCCGCAGTGCCTCTCACCAGCGTGGAGCCAGTGCTGGGAGCAGTGGGCACATGAGATATTGGATCAGTCCCGGATCCCAGACCTGCGCGGCGTTTCTGTGGTGGTCACCCGTCCGGCCCGCTGACTGACCGGCTGCAAGTGCAAGAGCTGTGTTTGTGTCCTCTCTCCTCTTACACCCAGCTCCTTTATTGGTTGGCTTCCTGCCCACTCTGTCTTTATATTAAGAAAAAAAAAGGTTTAACAAAATTGATTGTGTTTTCGTTTCTGCCTCGGAAGAGTCAAGGGAGGTTTGACTGGGATCTGCAATAAGCTGGGCAGAAGGAGTGCTCTCTCCTGTGGAGAACACGCATTGTGTGCAACCTCAGGTAGATTTAAAATTAAAAAAACCCTGAATCTGCTGCGTTGTTACCTGAAAGGAATGAAGTGTCTGTGCAAATGGTGAGAGGGAGCAAACCTGGAGACGGAGCGCTCAGCCCCTCGCTGCCGGGCACAGCCCCGGCCGATGGGACCATGCGGGTCCTGCGCTGTCACAGCACCAGCCTCCGGCTGCCATGAGAGCACGGTGCGAGCCCAGCGCCCGCTTGCACGACAGCAAGGGTAGGGAGCAACGCGGGGCTCTCGTGTTGCGGGGAGCCCGGTGAATGGCCAGCGAGCGTCTGCGTGCAGGTTTGCCGTGCGTTGCGAAGCGGCGTGTGCATGGAAGCAGAAGGTAGAGCGTTACCCCAGAAGCTGGACAGGTGCTCCCTTCCTGCTTGTATTTATTGCTGCCTGCTACTTTCTTTGATGATGGTGACTAATAGTTCATCAATGCCAGGGTTATACCGGCTCTATTTAGGACTTTCTGCCTGTTGAGTGACAGCAGGATGTGTGAGCAAGCTGAGACACCCAGACCTTTTCTGGCAGGATTGTTAGGGCAAGAAAATACTCTGGAAACCACAATGTGAATCATTTGTCTATCCGAGTGGATGACACTATGCCCCAGCCATGCTGCTTTGCGGTCAGACCTGTGCGGTGGGATCAGTGTGTCCAAACCAGCTCCCTGGAGTTCTGAAAACCTACGGGACAGGTTTAGTGTTAAACACGTGAAAACCCGAGCCTGCATGCCCTGCTCGGCACTCACTGACGGGTTTGTAGTGTGCTCTCCTCTGGGACCCGTGGGTACACGATGCCTGGCTGGCAGCGAAGGGCTCAGATGGGGCTGGCACACCTCCTTCCATAGGATTTCTGCTCCTGACTGTGCTCCACAGGGTAACGATGTCCCTCCTCGGCACTTGTGCTATGCCTTGCACCACCAGTGTGTTTAATCACACCTGGAGGGAGCTGGGATTGTGGGGGTGAAGAGGAGGGATTTGGGGAGGGTATGGGAATTGCCCAAGGTCATGTGGCTAAAACCAGCCAAGAAACCCAAGAGCAGCCCCGTCCTCTTGGAAAGGGTTGTTCCCCAGCCCGTCCCTGCTGCGCTGGCCCGGGGGGCCACAAATTCAGATAAAATGGCCATTTCATTACTGACTGCTCTGAGGAATCACCAGTGGCTTTGCAGAGTGAGCTGTGCCATGAAATGCTGCTCCGGGGAGTTTCATGGTGAAGCTTCATGGGCATCAGCAGGGCTAGGTCTTCTTCCCGCTCTTTGGCCAAGCTTTCTTTCTCCCATCTCCTCCAGCCCGTGCCTGTTGCCACGCCGCAAGCACACGCGCGTTTGTGCACGTGAAATATCGTGATGGCCAAGTGTCCATCCCTACTCTCCGCATGCCTCTGCGATGCTGTCAAACCGCTGCTGAACTGCAGCTGCCTCTGGGGTGGGACGCGGCAGCTGCTGGCCGTGCACAGCAAAGCTGCCCCGCCTG